GGTTTCTTTAAAACATTTCACTTCTCATCTGAGGAGCTTTGTCAGTTCTAACTGGAATGTCGGAGAGTCAAGCTAATAAGCTGTAGCTGTCTGTTGTTATTTAAAGAGCAGAAACTACTCTGAGTACCCCGCCTCTCTATCTCCTGATGAGTCATTAGTCTCTATTGAGAGGGAGTCGTTGTGTTGATTAGATGCAGGAAGGTGTGACCTAGACTGAAACTGAATGAGATTCAAAGCTGCATTATTGGTACTGGAAAGGTGAAACCTAAGCCCCTCCCCTATTTAAAGTGGGGTTTTCCACGTTTGACATAGATAGCTTCTTTTACTCCTCTCCCCATCTATCATCTCTGTCCAGAATGTGTACTTTGTACACTAGTGTACTCCTTCATCTCCTCACGCTTAGACTACAGCACCTCGCTTTTCACGTGTCTGAGCAGAACCTCCCTGAACCGTCTGCAGGTGGTTCAGAATGCCTGTGCTCGGCTTCTGACCAAGGCCTCCAAACACACCCACATCACCCCGCTTCTCCTCCAGCTTCACTGGCTGCCAGTCAACTTCATGGTTCATTTCAAGATCCTGGTTCTGGTCTATAGCGCCTTACATGGACAAGCACCATCTTACATTGGTGATCTTCTTAGTCCCTACACCCCCAGCAGGTCCCTGGGGTCCAGTGATCAAAGCCTACTGGTTGTGCAACACCAGGCTAAAGACCAAAGATGACAGATCAGTTGCTGCTGTGGCCCCCAGATTCTGGAACTCTCCCCCTGAGCCTGAGATCAGTGGACTCAGTGGTCTCCTTCAAAAAGCAGCTAAGGACTCACCTGTTCAAGCTGGCTTTTGTATGACCTTCTTCACCTCTCTCTCTTTATTCTGCTCTCCCCACCCATTCCACCTTCCTCAGGATCCACTGATTTCCCTTTTTCCTATTCACTCTCTCTCTTTCTTAACATTTTTTCTTTTAAATCCCAATTGCCTATTTTTGCTCAATTTAAATATATTTGAAAACATTTTCTAAATGGTTTTTTATATTTTTACATTTTTTTTTGTTTTTGTGAAGCGCCTTGTGATTTTTTATCTTGAGAGGCGCTATAGAAATATTTTCTTCTTCTTCTACTTTGTCATCTTCAAAGGTGTGTCCCTTGTCCTTCAGGTGAAGGTGGACTGCAGAGTGTTGACCTGAAGAGGTGGCTCTCCTGTGTTGTGTTATGTTCTTGTGTAATTGTTGTTTAGTTTCTCTAATGTAAACATCTGGACAGTGCTCCTACACTGGAATGCATAAACGACCCCACTGAGCTTCTGTTTGGGTGTTTTGTCTTCTGGGTGGACCAGGTTCTGTCTGAGGGTGTTGTTGGGTTTAAAGTTTACCAGGATGTTGTGTTTGGAGAAGATTCTTCTAAGTTTCTCTGAGACTCCTGCCACGTATGTGATGATGGTGCCTTTGTGTAAATGGTGTTGTTGTTAGGTTGGTAGCAGAGCTCTCATGTTTAGTGGTAAGTCCAGTGAGATCATGGAATGGGATCAAGAATTTTCTACTGGCAGGAAAAAGATCTCAGCTAACATAGCTGTAGATCACACTGGATAAGTCTCTGTGGTTGCATTTATTTTACATTTATTTTACTACCTCTTACTAAAGCTGTCTTTAGTAGGCGCAAAATATATGTCAATTAATCAACCAACCAACCAACCAACCAACCAATCAATCAATCAATCAATTAATCAATCAATCAATCAATCAATCAATCAATCAATCAATCAATCAATCAATCAATCAATCAATCAATCAAAGCTTTATTTATAGAACGCCTTCCACAACCCTGTCAGGAAGCCCAAAGCGCTGAACATGGTTCAGTTGTAGGTAAATATATTGAATAAATCAACAATAAAAGCAATTCAAATTACAAAATACAAATTACAAAATAGATGAAACATTCTGGTACAGGACAAATGTGTAAAACAATGGATTGAGTGAACCAATGAAAACTGTGAAATAAATTCAACATAAAAGAGGGCCAAAATCAAACATGTTCTGGAAACGCCAAGCGGAGGAGGTGTGTTTTTAGGTGACTAAAGAGGACGAGCAGCTCGCAGCGTGCACCCGCGTGAGCGCCATCTCACCCTCCTTTTCAAATGTGGTTGTACACCTGTGCAATAGCAAAAAAATATCTTAATTTCTGTTAAATGTACTTCCTGAATGAGTGACCTTTTCAGGCTAAAACAACAAAATGACAAATACAGACAGAAGGACGACTTCTTTCTTCTTTTATAATGCGTTGCATCACCACCTGCTATCAGAACAGGACTCAGTATTGGAAGATAATCAAAAATCAAACAACTTGGACTCGGATCAGGGGCAGAAATGTGATTGTAACATCTCTAGATATAAGTCAGCTTTAAAACTAAAACTATTATTTAAGAACTAACATTAACACTAATGACACTAATTGATACATTTTTATTATGTTGTTTGAACCCAAGGGTCTCATTATCTGAATTTTCTAACTTGTTGGATTGCTCTATAAGTGCCCCCTTTATTTTTTTTACTTTGAGCCCCCGCCCCGTCAAAGGTCTCTGCACGGCCCTGCCTAGTATGAAGTTGGAAGAGCGGAATCTCCCTGATCACATTTTCCACCTTAAATGGTCAGCAGCGAACTGCTGGCCAACATTTCCCGGTGGCCTGGCCGCCAAAAGGCCCACTCAGTGATTGACGTCTGTGAGATCTGGTCGTTCCTAGTTTTTGAAAAAACAATTTGCCGCGTGGTTCGTTAGGGAATCTGACCCGCTGAAGCTCACACTTGTTAGCCATATCTGATCCTCCCCAGACACGGAATGGACATAAGGAGATAATGAAAGTCAAAATGTCCCCAAAGGACAGGTTATTGGCAATATTTATTAGGCAGCTGGTTAGTCAAGGAGATACAACAGCTAGGCAGCTGTCATTAAATCCTAATTAGACCCACAGCATCCTGCAGGTATTATTATTATTAATAAATAAATAAAAAAACATTCAGTATTTTTATTGGAAGTTTAGGATTTTTTTTTATGTTCTAACTTTTTCTGCATTTCTGCTTTTGTGTGACCCAGAAGTGCAGCGGGGTGTTTTTCACGGCATTAATTTTGGCAGTGGAGAGGAACAACATCATATATGATATCAAACAGCAACATCAACCCTTTTTGGTTTATTAGCAGATTGCATAAGCAAACCGTAACCTTTGAAGTCTGAAGGGATCTTGTGATCTCGCGAGGAAGCCGCTCCACGGCCAAGACTCTCCTGGTGGGTACTGCACTGCATTAAAACTCGTGGGTAAAACGTTCCGCTGCTGTTCTGCACCGCTTGATGCTTCCAGTGTGAAACCCGGGTTAAAGTGACCGATTGTAATCCATACTTTCAACAGAATTAAATAGAATCTCTATTGATGCACCACACATACAGTTAATTGCAGCAGAACACACTTATTTATTTGATGCTGTGTGAGTGCCCAGTCGACGCCCAGCCCGAATCACTCCTGGTGTTTTACGTTAACGGGGTGGTGGTGGCCTGGGATGGATTCTAATTCCAGCATGAATTATTGTCCCAGTCCACCCATGTGAATGCTATTCTGTGTTCAAACAAATGTTGTTAAATACAAATTTTATTTAGGTGCATTCAGCTTCACAAAGTCTGATTTCATCTTGTATCGGAGGACTTTCATTCTAAATTAATCATGTAAATGTAACAAAACTGCAGGTCAGTACTTTTAAAAGTAAACTCTGATCAATGCATTTCTACAAAAAAAGCTAACAGCTTCAATTAAACCTTTAAGGCAAGAAAACGGCAGACAGAGTGATTTATGAAATGCCCCATGCACTAGGCACTGGCCAGTTTCTGGATTCAAGATTTTGCTTCTAAAAATTTTCAGTCCTGTTGTGAAAGCTGTCTTCAACGGCTTGTCTGAAGCTGTTGTGAACACTTTAGGAGGCAATGCTTCTGTTGTACCTGCTGCTGTGATAGCAGAAGGCGCAGCCCACTCGACCTTTTGCCTTTTTTATTGATGAAGTTGGACATCTGGAGTTTTTTTTAACAGCAAAAAGGAGTGATGCTCATTACTTTTTAGGGCAATATTTTGTTCAAACAAATATCTGAAATATGCATCAAATATGCTCCAAATGTGTCACTGCTATGAGAAATGCATTTTATTACTGATGTTGTTATGACCTGAAGCTTCTAGTTTTAAGGGTTCCAGACAGATGCTAAATGCAGCTGGTGACAACCCTCTGCCTCATCATCTCTCAGATAATTGAGTTTCAGTTATGCTCTTTCGTTTAGTTTTGTCAAAAGAAGTTTCCGAGTGTGTCTTTTGTCAAGAAAACTTAGAAAATCAAACAATCAATGCTAACTGACATTCACTAATACTTTGTGCATTAAAAACACATAAAAATGTTTTTAAAGAGCAAGTCACCCCCTACTATAAACTTACTCCACTCCCACTTCATGTTTGAAAAATGCAACAAATGCTGTTGCTTGGCAGACCGAGAGAGCGGAGCCACTAACAAATACACACACAGACAGGCTCACAATGGGATTATGACATCATAATATACCAGATGACATCATAGCATACCTCTTAGCCAATAGCGGTGGCAGGTTTAAATTCAAATACAGTGCAGACTTTTTCCCTGACAACGGCGCAACACTGACAGTTTTAGGCAGAATATTTGATTTTTAACCAAGATGCACTGAAGTACGAAATTATTGACTACACGTGTCTTTAGCATGATTAGACACTCCTTTATATAGTTTATCAGCAAAAAAAAAGCGATTTGGGGTTTGACTTGCTCTTTAAATAATATGTGTTCCTTATTTACTTTGTAGCTTTTGTATGTCTGTAAATTCATAATCAATAACTTATCAGTGTAAAGGAAAGCCTCTTTACATCTCATCTTCCATCGATTGTTCTTAGTTTCCACTAGTAGCTTTGTTTTACATGCTTTTTGGTAAATTTCGGGATTTCAGCTCAGCTTACCTGCTCTTGTCCTCCTGAATGTAAAGCAACAGTAGCTGTTTGGGGATGCTGAACGACAACGTGCACTCCTCCATTTGTTCCCGCACAAACATCCACTTGCTGTCCATCGTTTGGAATCGGTACACCTTGCATGTTGGGTTCTTGAACACTGTGAGCAGGAAGAGAGGTACGGTGAAGTACCACAAAATACAGCAAGTTCTCACCAAATCAATTAAGTCTCAAGATTTGGAAAAGTTGAACCAGAATCTCGAGTCAGCAGCCCCCTTCAAGGATGCAGCAGAGCAGGAGGGCTTTAAAAGTCACTGACAGTATGAAGCACAAATTAAACTCCATAATCAATAACTGTGTCTGCCATAGATAAGACATTTCTCATCTCTGAAGTCCTTCTAACTTCCTCCTGTTGGAAGTCAGCACATTAGGAGTGAATGCAAATAAAATGACACAAACTCCACACTGCTCAAAAAATCCATTTAAGCCACTTATTATTATAAAATATTAGAATTATTGGGAAGTTTTGGCTGCTAACTTCACTAAGAACCATTTCAAATTCAGCAGCATTTTCTTGACTTTTACTGAAAGAATCTAATAGCAGCAATCGAGGGGCTGAAAATGAAAAACAGTCCTAATGCTCTTATCTGCATGTTTGCAGCAGAGGGCAGGAGAACTGTGAGCCCTGAACACAGTTTACCACTTCCTGCCTTTTGCAGTGCTGCAGCCAGAAAAAAATGCTGCTCAATAAGATGGAGCCGAATCACCCGAAGTGAAAAGCTGACAGTTTTGTGCACAATGGTCAAACATGTGTGGCAGGACAATGTTTTTGCTTTAATTTAAAAAAGCAGACCTACGCTTCCTTTCTGACTGACAATGTAGAAACCTACGCCCGCAACACCTCATCTTCCTGCAATTTGATGCCATCTCTCCAACGCTGTGTGTCTCTCAGAGCATCTGTACTATTAATCTTGGTGTTGCCGTCTAATATGTGCGTGCACGTTAAAGTGGCTGGAACTCAGGGAGTGGGGTGGTTCTTCTTCAAAGGGTGCGGAAAGAAATCTCAGGTTTCATCCATAACTTGGTCAGTTCATGTAAAAGTTTCCCTGGGACAGACAATAAATGTATAGACAAACGGTAGCAAAAAGATTTGTTTCTGCAGGTCGGTCTAGCCAAGCTCCATTGTAGCCTTAGCTGTTCCACACTTAGAAAATGTATCTGCACAGTCTGTGCAGATGTAAAACATAATGCTACCATAGGTCATTCATCCCCTCTGCAGTGTAACTTTTCAGTTGAACTGGTACTGGCATTACACACAATAACATCAATGCAATATTATGAGTTCAATACTTGTGCAACACCAGGTGTACGTTAGTATGTCTGTGTCCCTGATGCTGCACACTTCTGGAATCCCAAGTTTCCTTTTTATTTGTTGTTTTTCTTGGTTGAAGGTTACAACAATAGCTTTCTGCCTTTGTGTATTTACCTGTAATGTTATTATTTTTCATCTCCCTTTTCACTAAGTGTATGTGCTGCTGTAGCAAGTGAACTTCCCCAGCGTGGGATTAATAAAGACTATCCTACTCTATTTTATTTCGAGCATTTCCTCATTTATTTTGGTTTCTCAGTGAACTTTGTCTTTAAACAGTTTATTTTTTACTTAGTTTTATACATGTTTGTATTGTCTGAGAGTATTTTGCAGGAGAATTTACCGCAAGCAAAGTTACATTTGAAATTTCACTACAGTTGCATCCATTTACACAAAAGAAAACTTTTACTTTTCAGTGTCTTCCCTCGTTGCAGTGAAAAAGAACCGAACCGTGACATTAAAACCAAGGTACGAACCAAACTGGCATGGATAGGCATACCATTACACATCTGGGTGCTGCAAAAGCATTCAGTTTGTGCAGCCAATCAGTGCATCAGTCCACCAGTCATATCCAGTTACACCACTCAACATCCTTATAGAGCTCCGGGAGTTGACGTCACTTCTCCCGGCATGAAACAGTTCAAATCGAAACGGCGCCATATTGGCAGGTAGAAGCTGGCAGCGGGACTATTAGTTAATGTCAGAAAACTCAATCAGACAGGAAATATGGTAGATTCCTGTTGTGCCCCAGGATGCCAGAACAGACGTGGACGACATAAGGAATGAGCCGTCTACAGGATTCCCCAAGAGCCGGAGCGCCGCAAACGTTGGATCATTGTAATAAAACGCACTAGTGACCGGGCTAAAATGAAACTGTGGGACCCCGAGAGTAAAGGTTTTCGTTTATGCAGCGACCGCTTCATATCAGGTACTTAAACAACGTTTCCTCAACTGTGTATGGTATTTATTTTAAATGCTTTTATTACGATTCTTAGTGGGCTTCCTAAACTTATTTTGGCGTGGCTTTTTCTGTCTTATTACTCATAGCAACAAGTAAACATCACGTAAAACGTTGCCTCGTGAGTTCTGCGTGCTGCCGTTTACGTGTTTTATGATCACAGCAATTAACCGGCTAAGCTGTGTTTAATTTTTAAGCAATGGTTGATCAATTGTCAGATCACACATAAAAAGCACTTTGGATTGCTATTATCTGTCTCACCGAGTCAGATCTCAGACAGATCCTGAGACGCTCCTGCCTGACATATTTATTTTTTTCACGGAAAAAATATCAAACTAGTGATTTCTCTTGGTGTTCAGTGTATACATTCAAACAGCACAGCACTCTATTTAAACTACTTACGTGTAAAGCTGTTATTTGTCCACCCATCCATTTTCATCCGCTTATCCGGAGTCGGGTTACGGGGGCAGCAGCCGAAGTCGAGAGGCCCAGACTTCCCTCTCCCCAGCCACCTGAGCCAGCTCCTCCGGGGGAATCCCAAGGGGTTCCCCGGCCAGGTCCGGTAAGAAGTCCGCTCCGACAGCTTCTGGCGTTTTTAAAAAGTATCCCAGGGGCACGGTAAGGGTTGGAGACGTTTAGTCTATTTAATTTCTGACTATATAAAACGATTTCTTCGGTTTTAAAGTGTGAAGTAAACTCCGACGAAGTAAAATCCAAGCCAATCCCGTTCATGTTCATGTTTACGATCCGTGTTTGTTTACCTCTTTTTCCTGCCAATATGGCGTCTACTAACTGAGAGTCACGTGGGGTCCGGAGCTCTATTGACCTGAAATGGCACCTTTTCCGATGCAGGAGCTACAGAAGTCCTTATAATCACAGTAGTAAGAACCATGAATTACCACAGCTCCACCAGACTGAGAACAAAACACAACTAAATAATAACAAAAAATGAAACAAAAAAATCAATAAATACATTTCCAGCATCTAAAATTGCAGAAGAGCCAAACAAAACTTCTCATTTTTAAAACCAGCACATGTTTGCATCCATCAAAGCAGCATCACTCGTATGTGCATCCTGCTGCATATTTATCAAAAGCTTATTGGTTCAATTTATTTTTCAATTTGTCATGCCACATTTAGAGTGAATTTAAAAGCCACATGCACAACTGATCATCTCCTAATTGTACAACAAACAGACTATAAAAACAGCATATTAGTTTTGAATGCAGCAAAAGAAGATGGTGTTGAAATCAGTGAGGATTATGGTTCAGACTAGCCCTGGAATGACCCCTGAAAAGGCACATAATTGTATTTAAATGAGATTTATTGTTGGCATGGGGTGGGGAGATTTAAAGTAAATGAACAGGATATCTAAAAAAAAATAAGGGTGGCGGAGAGATGTGGAGAGAGAAGGGAGAATTTTAATCATAAGAGCGATTGCTGCTGACTTCCAGTGTCATCTGAGAAGCGGATTAACCCCTGAACTCCCCCTTTTGCTGCTGCAGCCGCACTAATCTGACCACCAATCAGACGCCTGAGATTCCCTTCAAGACACCTTTTAAGAAAATAACTTCCTGAGCTGAGATGTATGTGGGCCTGTTTCCTTGCTTTTCTCTGTGTGCTCATTTCGAAAGGTAATTACTCAATCTGGTGGTATCTGCAAGGAGGGGATTGTTTTTGACAGGCTGCAGATGTGCACCTGCAAAAAGTGCCGGCGCTCACTAGTTAATCACAGCAGAAACTGTAAGTGACAATGACACAATAACAACAGGCGTGGGGCTGCTGGGGAGCTCAGGGAGAAAGGCTGAAATCTGCATAAAAAAGAGAATAGATACATGGGATGTGGGAGAAAGGCTGTTCACCAGTTTCTCCTCTGAACAAGAACTTTACCACAACAGGAGTGGTGACCTTTTTAAATCTCTCCTTTTTAAATAAATGCATTTGATTTTTCTCTCCTTTATCAGCGATGGATCTCACTCTCTACAAAATTAATCTGCTGCTTGTTTTAACCTCCTAGGTCGTTTAGAAAGAACCAAACTGGTTAACCTCATTGTCTTTTCCTGCTTGCACAAAGCATCAAAACCTCTGTGCATTTTTAAATGTGGTCAGTAGGTCAAGAATAGGAATGGAGTTTTGTAAAATAACATTTTAGGGTGTCAAATAATAAAATTACACTGAGTCCAGAATCAAATCATAGTATTTTAAGCTTTCTGTCCAATACCGTCACAGGATGAATGTCTGCTCAGACAAAATAAAGCAATCGCCTCTTAATTTAAATAGAATATAAAGGGATCAAGTTTCTGTAATGAATGATGGAACAGTGAGTCCTACCTGGACCCGTTTGTGGGCTGTCTTCTCTGTCGATGCAGGAGTGATGCCCAGACTCGCAAACCAAGGGGCACTGAAAGAACAAAAGCAACAGACATGACCGAGTTGGCTCTCGTATCAAATCAAATCCATCTAGCTGTCCGACTGCAGCTTTAAATTAACATCTAACCGTAATTCTGATTCAGTCATTTCCTGTGTGGTAACAAGGGATGAAGCATTATTTCCACAAAGTAAATATGAAGATAGTATTTACATAAAATCACTGACAAAAACACCATTTTGCTGACTAGTGAGACTTTTGTCCGACTAGCTGAAGTAGTCAAAAGGACTGTATTAGTGGCATAAAAGTCCAGCTAGTCTGTTTTTTAATGTATTTGTTGACCACTGGTTAAAACAAGTACATTATTAATCTGTATCTATATTATGTACTGTACACAAATTTTCCCTCCTTATTGGGCTAGTAACTACCAAAAAGGCTCACAAGTCAACTAGACAATGCTATTTAGACTTCTCTAATTAGCAAATGAAAATAAAATTGCAAAACAGTCAACCCTTAAACAGTCAACTGATTAACTGGTAAGGCTCAAAATGTTTGCTAGTTGAATTTCTCTACTAATTTAGTCTTAGTAAGTTACTAGTGGAACTCAAATGCTCACAAATTAGGATAGGATAGGATAGGATAGGATAGGATAGGAAAGGATAGGGTAGGATACGATCGGATCGGATAGGATAGGATAGGATAGAATGAGATGGGATAGGATAGGATAGGATAGAATGAGATGGGATAGGATAGGACAGGATAGGATAGAATGAGATGGGATGAGATAGGATAGGATAGGATAGGATAGGATAGGATAGAATGAGATAGGATAGGATAGGATAGAATGAGATGGGATAGGATAGGATAGGATAGAATAGGATAGGATAGGATAGGATAGGATAGGATAGAATGAGATGGGATAGGATAGGATAGGATAGGATAGGATAGGATAGAATGCGATGGGATGAGATAGGATAGGATAGGATAGGATAGGATAGAATGAGATGGGATGAGATAGGATAGGATAGGATAGGATAGGATAGTGTAACGTGAGGAAATATGGGTTTTCTGTGCAAAAGGTCATTTGACTCGGCTGGGTCAAAGAGCTGGGTCGCTGAGAACTTTCACCCACAGATTGAGACCTTTGCAGACATGAAGTCTGCAAGAGTCTGCTGGAAACCATAACATCTGCCACCTGCAGTCTGCCAGAAGATGTGTTCCCAGGAAATGTAGTCATAACAAGTCGTAAACTTTCTTTTAGATGTAACGTGAGGAAATATGGGTTTTCTCAGCGACCCAGCTCTTTGACCCAGCCGAGTCAAATGACCTTTTGCACAGAAAACCCATATTTCCTCACGTTACAATAGGATAGGATAGAATGAGATGGGATAGGATAGGATAGGATAGGATAGGATAGAATGAGATGGGATAGGATAGGATAGGATAGGATAGGATAGGATAGGATAGGAAAGGATAGGGTAGGATACGATCGGATCGGATAGGATAGGATAGGATAGAATGAGATGGGATGAGATAGGATAGGATAGGATAGGATAGGATAGGATAGGATAGGATAGGATAGGAAAGGATAGGGTAGGATACGATCGGATCGGATAGGATAGGATAGGATAGAATGAGATGGGATAGGATAGGATAGGATAGGATAGAATGAGATAGGATAGGATAGGATAGAATGAGATGGGATAGGATAGGATAGGATTGTCATGACTCCCATCCTTCACCCTCCTCCACTTCCTCATTATACCTTCATTCAGCTCACCTGGTTCCTCTCACCAAGCTCCAGCCAAGCCCTGCTTTCCCCAGCAACCTCTGTCAGCTTCAATCAGCTCCATTCATTCCACCTGCTCCTCTAATCAGCCTCATCCCATTCACCTGCTTCCCCTGCTATAAAAGAGCCAGCCATCCAGTGATTATTACAGCCTTGCCAGTAGTTCTCCAGCCATCCACCCTGCCTGATCTTTGCCTCTGGACCTTGTTTTTTGCCTGACCCCTGCCTTGCTCTCTGCCTGCCACTTTGACCTTAGCCTGCCTCTGAACCTGCCTCAGCCTTGCCCTCCAGGTACCTCTGCTTTAAATAAAGACTTTTTAAATATATTTTTACTGTGTTGGTGTCTTCACGGGTCTTCTGAACTCGGTTCCTGACAGAATAATCTGGCCAAAAATCTGACCCAACGCTGACACAGCACTTGGAGTATTTTTTTTCTTCTTTTTTTTCATCGTACCTGTCATGGAGGATCTCACGCTCCTGGAGTTTATGGAGCTAGAGAAGGAGCAGGAGTCACCGTTCTGGGGAACGCGGCTGGCCATCAGGCCAGAGCCACGCAGAGGCTCCACTCCTCTGTCCAGGCCTGCTGCAAACGTCTTGTGCAGCGGGTTCATGACCACGCCGCTCCAGCCTCAAACCCCTCCTGTCAGGTCATGACGGCGGCGGTCCCAGAGGTTTTCTGGAGCTGATAAGAGGGTTTATCCTTCTCCCGTGCTGGTGTCGGCGGGTTCCACGGACGGCACCTCATGTTCTGCTTCTGGACCGGTCCCGACGGAGGAGATTGTTCAGGGGATGATGCAGATGGTCGAGGAGGCTGTGTGGGAGGTCTTTGCCAAGCCAACCTGCCCCCACTTACGTCTGCGGGCGGCTGATAGGTTAAATGTCATCTTCTCCACCCATCCAGAGTTGATAGCGGTCCCAGCACTTGGTAATTACTACCTTTATGTCCGGAGGGTATATGGGTCTGCACTGAAGGACGTCGCCATGGAGGGTCTGACCTGCTGTGAGAGGTGGTCAACTTCCCCAGAACCCTCCAACGTATCGCATTCTGCTCCGGCGGTGGTCCCGGTGGACGCATCGCATCCTGCTCCGGCGGTGGTCCCGGTGGACGCATCGCATCCTGCTCCGGCGGTGGTCCCGGTGGACGCATCGCATCCTGCTCCGGCGGTGGTCCCGGTGGACGCATCGCATCCTGCTCCGGCGGTGGTCCCGGTGGACGCATCGCATGCTGCTCAGGCGGTGGTCCCGGTGGACGCATCGCATCCTGCTCCGGCGGTGGTCCCGGTGGACGCATCGCATCCTGCTCCGGCGGTGGTCCCGGTGGACGCATCGCATCCTGCTCCGGCGGTGGTCCCGGTGGACGCATCGCATCCTGCTCCGGCGGTGGTCCCGGAGGACGCATCGCATCCTGCTCCGGCGGTGGTCCCGGAGGACGCATCGCATCCTGCTCCGGCGGTGGTCCCGGAGGACGCATCGCACCCTGCTCCGGCGGTGGCCTCGGGGGACGCATCGCACCCTGCTCCGGCGGTGGTCTCGGGGGACGCATCGCACCCTGCTCTGGCGGTGGTCTCGGGGGACGCATCACACCCTGCTCTGGCGGTGGTCTCGGGGGACGCATCGCATCCTGCTCTGGCGGTGGTCCCGGGGGACGCATCGCATCCTGCGCTGACGGTGGTCTCGGAGGACGCATCGCATCCGGCTTCGACGGATGAGGTCCAAGAGGCCCTGGTCCCGGCCCAGCCTGTCCAAGGGGCTCCGGCCCAGCCTGTCCAAGGGGCTCCAGTCCAAGGGTCGACGCCTCCAGGCCCTTAAGAGGACCTCTCCTGCCCCTGCTCTGAAGAGGACCTCTCCTGCCCCTGCTCTGAAGAGGACCCCTCCTGCCCCTGCTCTGAAGAGGACCCCTCCTGCCCCTGCTCTGAAGAGGACCCCTCCTGCCCCTGCTCTGAAGAGGACCCCTTCTGCCCCTGCTCTGAAGAGGACCCCTCCTGCCCCTGCTCTGAAGAGGACCCCTCCTGCCCCTGCTCTGAAGAGGACCCCTCCTGCCCCTGCTCTGAAGAGGACCCCTCCTGCCCCTGCTCTGAAGAGGACCCCTCCTACCCTCAAGTTCCCCAATCTGAAGTTCCCCTGTCTGAAGTTCCCCAGTCTGAAGTTCCCCAGTCTGAAGTTCCCCAGTCTGAAGTTCCCCAGTCTGAAGTGTCTGTGTCCCCTCAAGTTCCCCAGTCTGAAGTTCCCCAGTCTGAAGTTCCCCAGTCTGAAGTGTCTGTGTCCCCTCAAGTTCCCCAGTCTGAAGTTCCCCAGTCTGAAGTTCCCCAGTCTGAAGTGTCTGTGTCCCCTCTTAGTCGTAGTCCGGTTTCCCCTCTTAGTCGTAGTCTGTTTTCCCCTCTTAGTCGTAGTCCGGTTTCCCCTCTTAGTCGTAGTCCGGTTTCCCCTCTTAGTCGTAGTCCGGTTTCCCCTCTTAGTCGTAGTCCGGTTTCCCCTCTTAGTCGTAGTCCGGTTTCCCCTCTTAGTCGTAGTCCGGTTTCCCCTCTTAGTCGTAGTCCGGTTTCCCCTCTTAGTCGTAGTCCGGTGTCCCCTCTTAGTCGTAGTCCGGTGTCCCCTCTTAGTCGTAGTCCGGTGTCCCCTCTTAGTCGTAGTCCAGTGTCCCCTCTTAGTCGTAGTCCAGTGTCCCCTCTTAGTCTTGGTCTTGGTCCAGTGTCCCCTCTTAGTCCTCGTCCGCCAGTGTCCTTTGTCACCACACTCCTACAGTCTCGGCTCCTGGTTCCCCGTCGCCGGCCCCCCAGACTCCCACAGTCCCGGCTCCTGGTTCCCCGTCGCCGGCCCCCCAGACTCCCACAGTCTCGGCTCCTGGTTCCCCGTCGCCGGCCCCCCAGACTCCCACAGTCCCGGCTCCTGGTTCCCCGTCGCCGGCCCCCCAGACCCTTCCGGCCCTCCTTCATGGTCCCCCTCCTCCCGCCCTGCTCTGGCCCTCCTTCCTGGTCCCCCTCCTCCCACCCTGCTCTGGTTTCCTGTGGGCGTCTGGTATCCGCCCTTGAGGGGGGGGGGGGGGGGGGTTCTGTCATGACTCCCATCCTTCACCCTCCTCCACTTCCTCATTATACCTTCATTCAGCTCACCTGGTTCCTCTCACCAAGCTCCAGCCAAGCCCTGCTTTCCCCAGCAACCTCTGTCAGCTTCAATCAGCTCCATTCATTCCACCTGCTCCTCTAATCAGCCTCATCCCATTCACCTGCTTCCCCTGCTATAAAAG